GGCTCTTTGCCCGGGGCCCGTGGGTCAGTGCGTCACCCTCAGCACCAAAAGGAAGTGCGAGAGGGGTCCGGTTCGGGACCTTGGCTGTTGGCGCCGCTTTCTGAGTCGGGCTGCCCCGCCGGTGCTCTGCTTTCCCCTCTTACACCACTTCTCCAGTCACAGCTTTATCTAACTAGGCACCGATGTTGTCTTAGCGTTCAGATTGCCCAAATAGCATTTATCTGCTTGTTGATTGTGGCCCTGTGGTGGTGTTCAAGTGAGCAAGGAGGATGTTAACTCATGCCAAACATCTAGATACTCATTCCTCTCCGTCTGTGCGGAGGGAGGTCATTTCTAAGAGTTTTAATTGGCCTAAACATAAGTAACAAATAATTTATACTTTATCTAAAGATCACATACAGCATTCCCATGTGTTTGTTTGCTACAGGCTTGGAATTGTAGGCAAAATGGAGAAGTCCAAGAGCAGGTAAGCAGTTATAAGATGCTGCTTTGTTAAAGATTTTTTTTCGCAATCTCTGTGGAACATTATTAATGAGAAAATGTATGTCTTGGAAGAGAAAAAAAAAACTTTTTTTTTCTGCATTTATGTTATCATAACACTAAAATACAAAAGACCCTGAGATATTAGCCTGGTTTGTAATATATTTGGATACACTCACTTGCCCAGCCTCAAATGTTCTCTGTGGTATTGAACAATTTGCTTATCCTTCACATGTTTTATTTCTTAACTTTAAGATGGGGAAATGATCCTTCTTCAATCCCTGCTTTTCTTGGTTATGTCACATAAATTCTCAAGAGCATGGGTTGTTATCACTACACAGGTGTTAACATCTACCCCATACAGTTCTTGCTATTTTGAATAGTTATTGTAAATTGTGTATATTGAACAATTGTTTTCAGCTTAGACTTTAATACAAATTTCTATGTGTTACACCTGTGCTTGGTTTTTACTGTTTTGCATGATATTGTAGCTGTATGGCCAAGCTAAGTTTACCTTTGGAATAGAGCAGAGGTTTTGAAGAGAGGCAGGTTTAGCAGAAATGTACTGGAAATTATTTTGTATAATTTAAAAAGTGCCTGAAAGTCTTCAAAAGTGCATGTGGTGCCTCAGCTGTGCATCTTGACGCGCACTGAATTCTTTTGTCTGCCAGATTGAGGCCCTTCTCTTTCAGAAATATTCAAATAACTTTTTATAAGGGAACAAGAATTTCTCTCTCTAGCAAAATATAGGTCTTGTTTTCTTTCATTAGTTTTATTTTAGCTTCTTGGAGTTTGCTAGAAGAAGCCAAAAATGCTGGGTTTTTTTCTCTTTATACTGTGAGATTTTAATTATACATTAGATTTTTTTTTTTTTTAATGTCAGTGTTTGGAAAAATTGCTCAACTGAACTCCTGAAACCTGTTAGTGTGGGTTATTCCAATAACTGCAGGAACAAGATTTTTTTTCTGTCTGCAGATGTTTTTCCTAGCTCAGCTCAGGTGATTATTGGGATGAGATTTCAGGCAGTCTCTTCTGTTGAATGTTATGGAGCGCAAGAATGTGTTTGTACTTCTAATGTGCAAATTTTCAGGGTGGTGGCAGTATTTGTTTTGAGAAAGAAGCTTCAATACAACTGGTTCAACAGGTTTTATCTGGTTAGATTTTTTTATCGTGCTTGTTTTCAGTAAATTGTTGAGGCAAAATACTTAGAATTTGTAAATGCATTTTAAAGTTATTTTTCGAATTAGAACTAGGCTTCAAAATAAGCTGCATAATGGAAGGATCTACTTAATTTTGACTTTTTAATGATTGCTATGTGAAAACAGAGAGGGATTTTTAGCAATATATTTTCCTTTGTTCAAGTGTAAGGGAGACTTGGAAAGATCATGGACTGTTTGTGTAAGTGGCTCTCCTATTATAGTGATAATTGAGAATTCTCACTTCCATTCTGTACTCCTCAAGAGTTTTTCAGCAGTAGACAAAACAGCTTGATATGTTCAAGGATAAATAATAATTTTTTTAAAAAAAAAGGGTTAACTCTTTTTTTTTTCTTTTTCTGTAAAGGCCTAAGTTTTTACTGTATATAACTGCATATGGAGGGAAGCACAAATGTATTTTAGTTATATTTCATTTAAACATTACAGGAGAAAGGAAATGTGTATGGCATGGTTGCTCTGAAATCTCTCTTACTGCTGTTCATGGGGAAATCATCTTAAAATGGCAGAAATAAAGTTAGTGAAAAATGCTTGGAGAGATGTTAAATGCGTTTTAACATTGTGTAGCTGTCAATTTCTCTGTGTGATTGTATAGCTGTTTTTATAGATCAGTTTATAGAAATGGTGCCACTTCTTTGCAGTTAACATGATCTTATGTGATTTATTTTTCCTCCTAAGTTTAAAATCTCTGAAGATGCACACAGCCCAAAAACTTCATAGACCGAAAATGCGTGTGACCAGTCAGTCTGTTGTATGTCAGTCTATTGCTCTGCAGACTGATGGACATCCATTTCAGAACAGGGGATATCACAACCTGCATCGAGTTGAGAATACCTGCAGTCAAGGAAGAAGGTTGCAAGAACTCCGACTCAGGTGAGGAGTACAAAACACAATTTTCACTAAATGAAGCAGAGGGTAGTCCTGAAGAATTCTGCTGTTTTTAGTGGAATAAAGGAGGGCTAAGGCAAAATGCAGAAAACGTCCTTTGATAATTTGAGGACATACATTAGCGCAGCCAGGTTTCCTAGATATTTGTTTTTTTAATGTAAAGTTTAAAAATGCCTACTTAAAAAGCATACTTTTTGGGGACTGTCAAGGAAGAGTATTTTAGTTTTTCCCTGCTGCTGTGCTTCTTTACTTCCTTTATTTGTTGAGGGAATTGTGACAGAGATGGGACTGTGACTGCTATGAGATTTAATGCATATAATTTTGTGGGACAAATGGAGCTGATCTAGCAGCTCATGTTCGTTTAAAGAGGGAGGCCCTGTTTGTGGCTCTGCACTTTTATAAATTACCTTGTACTGGCTTTGAGGCCTATTGGTGCCCTCTGTGAGCCGATTTAGCATTTGAACCCCTAAAAAAAAAAAAAAAAAACAACTTAAAGAGGCAGTGTGGAAACAGTGAGAATATCATAGCCAGAATTAGTGAGCCGAATTGGCTCCTGGAGGAGCTTGCTAAAATAAACAGATTTGATGTTGGGGAGGAAGGAAGACCTCCCTGTTTCAGTGCTAAACACTAGATTGGCTCACCCTTTCCTGAGTGACTTGGCTAGTTGGTTTCAGAGAAACACTCATGTCCCCTCTCTCCTAAATGACACAGTCACTCCAGTTAATCAGCTACTTGCAACCTAATATGCCTGGGTTTTAGTGTATGTATGAAAGACATCTTAGCTATCCTAGTTTCCCAAACAATCAGTTCCCAAAGCGG